ACAGCAAGAGCTGATCACACTGCTTTAATCAGCATGACAGGAGCAGGTGCTCCCCAGGTAGAGAGCTGCACTGTTATACCTCTGGATTGCCCTTCACTGTGAGCAAGGTCAGCCCCAGACTCAAGGATTCCCACAGGTCATTTCTTAAAGTGATGCTATCAAAACGGTAGACTCTAGGGTGCTGACCGGGCCCGACGCGGGGGGCAGAGGGGAGGGGGCACTGATCCTATCCGGCCCCAGCGTGTTTTCCCTGCACCTGGCCAGGGGTGAAAGATGGAGCAGGCACATGGGCAAGCAGGGTCTTCCTGGCGACTGGCTTGGGACCCCCGTGGGCAGGGCGTGCTCAGCCAGGCAGATAGGATGGGGCCATGGGTGGGCGAGGAATAGTATCTGGGAGCGGGACAGGCAGGGCCAGGATCGTGGGGCAGTGACAGCACAAGGCCGGGACTCAGGGCAGAGCCATGATGCACTCCCTGCGAATCACGGCTCTGCCCTGGGCCCCGGCCCTGCACTGTCACTGCTATGGATCGTGGCCCTGGCCCTGCACTGTCACTGCCCCGCGATCCCAGCCCCAGCCCTGCCCACCCAACCTGCTCCCAGAGCCACTCCCTGCCTGCCCACGGCCCCAGCCCATCTGCTGACCAAGTGCACCCTGCCTGCAGGGGCTCCATTAAGACCCAGACCTCTTGCTCCATCCAGCGCCCCCAGCTTTGGGTGCAGGGCAGATGCAGTGCCCCCGGCTTTGGGTGCAGGGCAGATGGGCCGGGGTGTCTAGGCAGTAGGGCTGCCGTCCCCATGCACCTGGGGACAGCAGGACTGGCCGCACGCCCCAAGGCCTGGGCTACTCCCCACCCCTGGGCCAGATGGGGACCCGCCATGGGCCAGACAGAATTGAAATTGGTGCTTTCCTGGTCACATGTCAAAAGTGATGTGTTTCTTAGTCAAGCCTCTGGGCAAGATTGTAACAGGACTTTCAGGATATGACCAGGTTTTATCAATCACTACTCCTACACTTTGGCCAGTTTGTCTGAACTCTGCACTGCGCAAGACAGTAGGTGATCAGGCCTCTGTAGTCGACTTTCCTTCAATGCTCAGCAGAGCAACATACTGCCAAGATCTTCCTGACCAAACTGCTGCTATTGTCGTGGGGTAGGATTTTTGAGGATGCAAAGCATTAGCTTAAATCTGTTCCAGTAGGAGTCAGTAGTAAAGTTCAGGTCAGCTTCAACAGGAGCAAAATTGGCGCAGTGCTGAGTGCCTTTTGAAAATCCCATCCTCTGAAATCCCTTTTCTACAGGGAAGTCTGCAAAATAATTCCAAGGGTTTTGTAAGCTGCAAAGGTAGCTCATGTCTGGATCCTTCCACCCTTGACAGTGTCACCTTATAAACTACAGGGAATTATTTTCTCATCTGGCAAAATATTGACATGACTTGTTTGCTCTAAATGAGTCAAGCAGAACAAGAGTTATCAAAACACTGCCAAGATGCTGTATGTGTAGGATGAAAGATGTCCAACTTAAATCGAAACAGAAAGCACAGCTAACTCCATTGTTCCCTAGAGGACATGCGTTGCTTTGGCATGCACAGAAACAGATGCCTCCTGCAGTAGGCACAGTGACTTTCTCTATGTGTAACAAACACTTAATTAAGGGAGCGAGTGAAATCCTGACCCCGCTGAAGTCGAGGCCAAAACTCCTGTTGACTTCAGTGGTGCTGGTTTCACCCACTGTGTGGACAGTGACAGGGCAGAAATTTAAAAAATATTGCCTATCTTGCTATTGCTGCCAGCAAAAAACTGGCAGTGATTTTGAAAATAGGTAATAGATTCTGCATGGTAATAACGGCTCGGTCTTCTGCTGGCACGCTTGTGAGCTCAGGCTGCCGAGCGTCTGGAATTGTGTATAGCGGTGAAGTGGTGACCTACGAGGCGAGCCTCTCTTCCCAAATCTCCCAGGACTTTCCTCTGAGACCCCAGCTAAGTCCCTTGCACTGCAATTTTCCAAAGCAGCATCTGATTTTGGATGCCTGAGTGTGTGGATGCTCACATTTAGCCTCCTGGGTTTGGATTTTTGAGACATTACCCACAATCAGTTCCTACCGATTTCAGCCGGGGCTGGGGTTGATCAGAACCTCTGAAATTTAAGCCTGAGTCGTCCAAATTTGGACACCCCAAAATTAATGTAAATATAGATGCCACTACTGAAAACAGGCCTTTACTTCTCTGTGTCATGCTCTCCCCCTGTGCAAAATGGAGGATGACAACGTCCTTCTCCCATCTCCCACTGCACGGTGAAGTGTAATGCAGCGGTCTATAAGCTTCAATCATAACGAATGCCTAATGCCTGGCAAAGTGGTGGTCCCTGTGCTGTGTCACGGAGTCCCTGTGCCCACCACCAGGCCTCCTGCCCACAGCTGAAAGGGTTTTTTGATTTTAAGAGCTTCATCAGAAATGCAAAACCAGTTACTCTGGAATGAAAGTGTTTCTTGGATGAGCCTGGGTATGAACACAGGTGATGATGACATCCCTTTCTGAGGAATGTGCTGCCTGGGGTTCCTATAACGCTTGGAAAATCTGAGAGAACAAACATCTGCCTAAGACACTCTGAGAGACATTTAATAATACGCTCAGAAATGTTCATTTTCAGCCTGGAGCTGTCAATCACTCTCAAGTTCTGTATTTACTAAGACTCCGGACTCCAGTTAAACAGATTTTTTTTTTTAAATGAACACGTACATAGAAAGAAAGAGAATCCAGATGGTGATACGCGTTGATTCCAGTCCATCTGATGAAGAACAAGACTATTTCAGTGAATGAGATGAACCAGATACAATTTGGACAGATCAAACCTACATTCTGTGTGTCCCTGGTCCCGCTCCGAAAGATGGGGCTGCTGTAACTCCCTACTGCACAGGGCTGCTTGGCCACTTTTTTCACTTGAGTTTCTGAAGTCCCTTCAGATCCTCAAGTAAAACCTGCCATAGAAGTGCCAACTATTAGCTTTGAGTATTTCCAACTCTTGGGTGTTTAAAAACCAGCACAAACACTGGGTCCTTTATATTTGCCATCTGTATTCTGAGAATGCACTCAGGTCGTATCTCTGAGGCCTTCTCTGCAATCTTGAGATCTAGAAACTTGATTTAGGGGGAAGAAAACCCTCCAAACTGAGATTCTCACCTAACTGCATGTCCCCAGGAGCCAGGGGTTTCATAAAAACACCAAATACCATGAAACATGTGATAAAAATCACTTGAGCTGGCCAGGTTCAATTCACAATGTGAGCGTGAAGAATTATTACGTGCTCTGGGTGGAAACCTGGCCCCACATAAACCAAGGGTAAAACTCCCTCTGATTTTCAAAGGGCCAAGATGACACACTCTGTGCTTGGCACATAAATAGATCCCAGATACATCAGAGAAGGGGGAAGCACAAGAAGTGGGCAGGACCCAAACTAGATCAGAACACAGCAGAAAGCAGCATGCCATGATCTTTCCCTCTTAAATCTTGGGTCAGAGCAAGAAGGCATGAAAGGGCATAATCTAGTAGATGACACTAGCATTCGCTATCAGGAAGTGATCCCGCCACTTTGAAAAGGCCCTTGGCACAGTGACTATATTAGGAAAGCTACCGTACACATTGGATAACCTCCTTAGGGGTGTGGTAGAAGCCCCTTTTCTTGGCGTGCTGCTAAAGCTGGAAAAAATAGATGTGCACTAGGGAGAAATTCTTCTCTGGCAGGGAGATGGATGTAATGATCTAATGGGCCTTTTCTGGCCTGGCCCAAATGCTATTCTGCACTACCCCAGCATGAATCCAGAGAAACTGCACCTAAATCAGTGGGGTAATTCCAGCCCTGAAGCTGAGGGCTACAGTTCAAGACGATATAGCAGGAAGCGTGTTCCCTGCTGCTACATTGTGGGCCTTTCCCCATCTGATTATATAAAATGTAATGCATTCCAGGCCCAAAAGTGGATTGACTGGTTCTTTTGCCAACTGGGAAGAAAACCGGATTATCCAGGTTTTCTTCAGAAAACACAGGAAGGATGATTTCAGGAAGTTTAAATCCAGAAGGGCCTGTTATATCACCTAACCTGACCTCCTGTATATCACAGGCCGTTACATTTCATCCTGTCTTGACTGGATGCTTGTGTACCAGAGGCAGAAAAGAGGAGAGATCAAGGTGTCACCAATGACCAACGTCCCTGCAATGGCACAGAATAGATGGGGGGGGGTCCAAAAGAGATCCTAGTAGATGATCCATGCTCTGTGCTGCTTTGAGCATATCATACAGATTGTCTTTAGCCACCCTTCATACAGTTCATCGCATAGTCCAACAGCTACATTTGCAAGACAACCTGATCTCATGCTAGCAAAAATGATAATCCTGACACCGGATTGACAAAATTGCAAAGAACAAATAGGACATCTGATCCAGGATAGACTGACAGGGGGAACTCCACTTTGCATAATCTCCTGTGACCTTCTGCAATGTGCTCTCCAAGTGGATCTCCCTTGCAGCGCTCCAAAATGAATGGCAGGAGGTGGTCCACACAGGAGGCCGCCAGCTGGTATTCAATGCAAAAAGACCTTGCTGCTATCCTGAGGCCTTTCTGAGAAGGGACAAACAAGCAAGGAGTCACAGTGCTCCTTTTCCCAGCCAAATCTCCACTTCCCCCCCATGCCTTGTTTCTTGATGAGGCACAGCAAGCTTCTGGCACATGCAGGGGGGCACTTTGGAGGGAGTTATGAAGTTACCGTCATCATTTTCATGGACAACATGTTAAGCACGATGAAAGGGGACTCTCTTGTGACAAAATCAAAATAGAACACCCTCGCTACATTTTTAGACCACCCTATTCATGCAGGCACTATGCCCAACTACACATGCTGCAGAAAGATCACTGGTGATAAGGTTACGGGAGGCATGTCAGACAGAGGTGATTAGTGAGAAAGGACAGGACAGAAGACCTCTTCCTCTTCTAACAATCACAAGCAGGTAGGAGAGGGAATGCAGGGGTTTAAAATGCTGACAAAGAGCAACAGCTTGAACCACATGGTGTTGATCTGAGCAGAGCTGCTATGGCTCGGGTACCCTGTTTTTAAAAACCGCCCTTCAGACACATCATATTCTACCCCCAAGCCCGCTTTTGTAATACTGACTCCCAGATTCCAGTCTCTTCTGGTGCCAGATAAAGCGTTTGGTGCCAACAAGCCAGATAAACCTTTATTTCAAATCACAGTGGCTGAGTGGCAGAAGCAGAGTCAGATGAAATGCACACTTCTGCTTAGCAGCGCAAATGCCTGGTACAGAGAAGTGTTGAGTACTAGGCTCTAGGTAGCAGTTTTATTTTGTTTCAAGCGTTCTGTCTGCCTACACGCTGCATGCCGCTTCTTTCATGACCTGATATAAGGACAGAGATCTACAGGAAATAACACTCTGGGTATGTAAACTGCTTCTTTCTTTCTCTACCGTTGTACCTTTGAGCACTCCTTCAGACATTTCCTTCAGCTGGATGCAGAGAATGCCAGACTTCACATCTGGTCTTGTTACATTTACACATGAAATAAGTTTAAAAAGTAATGAAGCTAGTACTCAAACCAGGTTATGAAAACAGTTAGGATGTGATTTATTTCTCCATTGGACATTTGGAAATGTAACCTTTGAACAAAGCAGTGATTTCAGACTCAGAGCTAAACAAGTAATAATTTATAAGCTATACTCAGAGTAGCATACAGAGTATCCACAATCATCGCACAGCCCCACAGCATTTTCACTTTGCGGTCCTACAACTCCTGTACGTAGCCTTATGCTGAACCATCATAAATTGACACTACTGATTATCTTGTGAAATGCATATCCCTGGCAGCTTTAAATCTGCTGTGAGGGGCAGACATTCAAAGCATTTATTAACTTCCTTTATTAGGTCTCTGATCATTATTTATGTTAGCAACAAGGATTTCAGGCTGGGATGTTAGCAGTGTAAATTATGGCAAGTAAGGACAAGTTTCTCCTCTTGGTATCTTCTCTGTAGTGTTAGAGATGGGCCAGAACTAGACTCTCAAACTGAACCACTTAGAATTTGGGGATGTGGGTTGGATTTTAATCTTTGGATCAGAGTCAGCTCTTGCACTTTCCTGTCAGATAAGGAGAAGCCTATTCTCCCATTACAGTAGTGAAGAATGATCATCCTTGTGAGATGTCACCTTAATATGTATAGATCTAGCAGAAAGTGATACATCACTTAAGGCTGAAAAGCTGGTCATGTTTTAAATCCTTCCCTGCAATGCTAAGTCCTAGCCTTAATTCAGACTCAGCTCCAAGTCCCAAAAGAAATGGAATCCAGATCAAAATGACTAAGTTCGATTTGAAAAAGAAAACGACTGCAGGGCAACCTTCAGATTTCAGGGCTCAGAAGTGAGTGGAAAGCTTGGTGGATGGTGATGGTTTTGAAAACAAGAAAAGCAAATTACAATGAAGGCTGATTAGTAAGCTAAACTGAAAAGTGGGACTATTGCTTTTACTCTTTTACAAACATTATGTGCATTCACTACTTGCACAAGGAGGCAGTTTGACAGCCCTGTGATACTCGGTTTTATTCAACAGGAACCACTCTGGACAGATGCTGCTGCCCTCGACAAGTGAAAGGAGAAATCAGCCTTCATGGCCTATTCAGTCATTGTCTTTCTGTGAAGGGTACTAAAGAAGGATCCTATGGGAGCTGGGGAAATATCTGTGATGTGGACACTGTGCTGTATTAGCCACTGGTTTTCCTACGCAGGAAGACTGTTGCTGAGCACTGTCTATGAGATACAGCATCCTCTTACCTCTCATTGGCTCCAGCGTAAGTAAAGGAAATGTAGTACTTTACCAAATCTGCTCCAAATTCTTTAAAATCCTTGACCACAGCACCAGCAACCAGCTCTGTCACTACCAAATTGTCTAGTAATAAAGTGACAGGGTAATGCATTTCCTACATGTTGAATTCTGTATTTAAACACAGCGAGGGAAAGGTTATGCATTAGTTTTTTCCCTCAGCTGTCAGTTTAGTATCAGCCCATCCAACTGCTAAGGTTGACTCAGCCCAGATGGTTTCAGAAACATCTAGTAAAAGAATAATGGTAAAGTGAGTGGTGAGAAATGTGTTTATAACAAATTAACCTCTAATATTTCTCTTACAGCACCACCTGCGGTCCCAAACAACACAAAGGCCTCATTGTGCAGGGTGCTGTCCATAAACAATGAGAGATTGTCTCTGCCCAGAAGAGATCACAATCTAAGTACGAAATAGAAAGCAAAGAAAGATGCTGTGACTCATGCTACGTCACTGCTAGGAATAAATTCTAGTTTACCTGACTGCAAAGCCAGTGTTTTGTCCATTAGGCCACACAATCTTCCCAGCTTATGCCCAATTTACTCATAAAGGCGCTGAAGGACTGAAATGGTTCCATCTGGTGTTCTTATGTTTCAGGCATTTGCCTCCTGGTTGCCAACTGACTCACTCACACACCTACCTCCCTTAGTGCACTATTCACAACTCACACCAAACCTCCAAGGGCCGCGTCCAGATGTGCATGGACATTTGGTTCCTTGGGACAAGTAGTGGCAGTGCATTTTGCACCACTGCTACCTGTCCCCAGGGAATGACACGTGTGCTTTGGTGTGCGGCAAGTTGCCCTGGGTGTGGTAGGGGAGGCTGGGGCCAGCAACCTTACCTGGGGTCCTGGAGGCCTCCTGGGGCTGCAGTGATTTTGCCATGCGGAGCCTGGCTGGAAGCAGAGTGTGGCTCTGGGTGGCCCAGCTCCACTTTTCAGCAATGCGCGCTGACCAAGCATTTTTTTAAGTGTTTTTTTCTGACCCTTGGATATCCAGGAGTCCAAAAAAAAAACCCCCAGTGCAGCACACACTCAGGCAGTGTACCCTTGCAGTGTGGAGAACACTGGACTGTGCAGTATGTGGCATTGCAAATGATCGGTATGTGGTGCTACATACTGCACAACCACACTCGTCTGGACGCACCCCAAGGCTCCTTCTTCTCTACATGTCAAATGTCTAGCTGGGATGGCATGGGCACTAAGGCACGTGGTAGACCGCCCAGAGATTGCAAGTTAGAAACCATGGAAGAAGTGCTCATGGCACAGCCTGTCCGATTCAAGGAGTCTGCAAATTCTAAGTACCTTGTTACAAGGGCGTGAAAAATGAAAGGTTGTCAGAAGCATCCCCTCCCTCACTCCAGCAGACAAAGAATAAACAAGCCTGGAACTACAATCACTAGTAAAAGACCTGCAAAACTGGCATTCCCAGAATCAATTTCTCACCATAATTTAGGGCCAAATCCTTACCCTGCAAGTAAAGTAAGAGAGTTAATATCCCTTTGGATATTAACTTTCTCCTGACTGTAAAGCAGGAGAAGAGTAACTGAGTGGTCTGTGGGAAGAAGCAACTGGGATTTTATGCCAATGGAGCCAGGCTTTGCACAGACCAATAGACTGCACTGGAGGCACTCCTGCACTGAGATCCTTTGTGTTCATGGGGTCTTGAGTCTTCCTGCATGGACCCCTCCACATTCCTACCTGTCCCATTTCCCAGCCCTCTTTGCAGCACAGACCAGAGTGCGAATGCAGTGTGTGCCCAAGACAGTGGCTGGGGGGTCAAAATGGCAGGGGAGTCAAATCCCAGGTCTTTGAATCAATGGCCCAATTTAGCCTGCCTGGCTGAGCCCTTGTGCACCCCTGCTGCCTGCCTTCCACTATGCTGTGCTGCTTTTACCTGGAGTGCACTTGAATGGGATGAGTTAGAATGGGCCGACCTGATGGAAACCTGGACTTCCAATCCATCCGGGAGGCAAAAAGGGAGAAGGAAAATGCTGATTCTCCAGAAAGTGATGAGCCTGTTGCTGACAGCAAGAGACAAGCCCTTAAAACAAGCAGAACAGCTATGTGAGAAAGTAGAAAACCACTGCTGTGGGGGATACTGTCTACTGGATTAATTCAAAATAAAATAGACTGAGTAGGATCAGACTGTCCTTCAGGGCATAGGAAAGCAGAGCCAGGCAGAGCAGGAGATACGAAGGCAAGAGGTGAATTAATTTATACCAGACCTAATGACAGGGAAACTATGTGCAGAATCAGTCAGTCAGAAGGAAGGATTGGAGCTTCTCTCCTTTCAAATGCTCTGTCTGGGTTCTGATCAGATCAACATAAAAACAGTAAGAATTAAACAAAAAGCAAGTCTGTACAAATGAGAGGAAATCCCATGAGACACCACCCCAACTGCATTAGCACCTTCATGACCAGGGGCAAGTCTTTTCAGGAAGATGGTTAACATCTTTTCCCTACCTAGCTACTAATGCAGAAGAGCACAAACTTCAGCAGACTACAAGACACCCGTGGCATATAGGTCTGTGGGCATGTGCAACCTCCTTAGGGTCTAGAGACAAGAAGTAAAGATGGTAAAGGGATTGGAAAGCAAGCCACAGGAAGAAAGACTGAAAAAAGGTTGGTTAGACTGAGGTGGGGGAAGAGATTCAGGGACACGGCAGCCGTTTTCCAATATCTGAAAGCTTGCCATAAGAGAGATGAAGAAACGTTGTTCTTCCTTGCCACAGGGGGCAAGATACAAAGCAGTGGGTTCAACCTGCGACAAAGCAGATTTAAAATCCAAGGAAAAGTTTCCTTAGTCTATTGACTGTCAGTGAAATCAATGTAGCCCAAGAGCTGAGAAAGAGGGAGTAAGGGGAGTGTACACCAGAAATATGCAGGTCAAATGCAGGGATTGAAAATAACATCTTATCTGGAGGGGAAGGGGCTGGTGGATCACATGTATAATCTGCTCTGCTCTGTACTATGTGACCTCAAGTGAGTCATTCTGTCCTTTTCTGTGAAATGGCAATACCAGGACATCACTGATTTACAGGTATGTTTGGAGGAATGAGTCACCTCGAAGGGTCTGGGATGCTGAGGTTCAACACCAATGAAAGCCACAGATCAGATCCTGCTTGGCTCAGACACGGGGGTTTCCCCCCTCATGTTTGGTATGCTGATTTCTCAGAAACAACCCGCAGAAACCTCCTACTGCTTGAAAACAGAACCCAAATGGCCTTTGTTGCCAAGGTGGCATCATGGCAAATACAATGCTAAAACAATATAGTCAAGGCCCCATGGACTGCTGGATTTGGGTAAGCAATACTTGGATTTGTTTCCTGCAGAGATAAAAACACAGCTGCTGTTTTTATTGACTGAACCACACTGGATTATCTGTGCACTGTGCGAAATACAATCTTTCTGAGTTCCACTATGTGGACCTAACACTCAACCTCGGCCAAGCCTTTATTGCAAAATGTGCCCTCTCTCTTTCAAAAGAAGTCACATTATATAACCTCATGCCTTTCTTTCTGAATACGGCTTTAATTTATCCATAAGAGAACATGCTATATGAAAACAGACCTGGCCATGGCTGCTGAGTGATGGACAGGCTGATTGATGGACTGGGGGCATTTCTGGAAGACAGGAAGTTTCAATTTCTTAAACGTATGCATTTGTAGGAAAAACACTGATAGACTTCTAAGATTCATGCCTGAATGAGGAATCCGGGATTGGGTTGATAATTAACTATTCGTTTCCCTAATTTTAAAACGTGTTTTTGGTTGCCAATTTCAAGTATTTTTTAAATTGATCTTGAGTATAGAGGATTTGCTGAAAACGGGGCTTTAAAGTTGTTTCAAGAGGAACATCTAAAATAGGGGCACCCAAAATGATTCTGGAAATGTTGGCCCAGTAAAACTAATACTAGTAGTATAATACAATAATCAACTTATATCTATTGAGTTGCTATTGCAAAGGGTATCAGGCAGCACTGTTGCAATAGATGCCATGCTGCAGTGTCCCAACTGGGATTTCATGTGTACAGTGCCTCACAAACTTATTCTTCAGACAGACATAAATTTTCCAATAACATCCAATAAAGGCCCAGTTTTCAAAGGTGAGAAGCACTGGCGGCTCCTAATGAACTTTAGTGGATACCTTCTGAAAATCAAACCCTTGAGAATTTAGTTTGCACACTCAGCCACTGCTGAATGATGTTGGTGAAAGGGGTTGGACTGAGGGTGTCAGAGAAACGAAAAAAAGATGTGACTTGGATAAAGGGCTGAAGCAAAGGTAAACAGTGCTGAATGAGAAGTGGTGGATTTGGATAAAAAACATCACTTTGGAGAGGAGGCAGCAAAGACATGGGGGAACACAAGCTGGACCGAAGGCATATGGGTGTAGTTTTGGGGGTAATGTAATATGACCCAAACCATAGTTCTCTGCTCAAAAGCAAAATAATTTGATGCACCCAGATTAACTCATGTATGTGATAGGCCACACTTGGAAGGTTATCTGAATGACCTGGCTTTCACTTTGGACAAACATGCACTCACGAAGCAGTAATTTGTTTCCTATTATGAAAAGTAGGTTTCTAAGAACCATCAGGCCAAGAAAAAAATTTCTGGGAACTCCTTGCTACGGTTACATTATTGGCTGGTGCGGGATGAAAAATACCCCTCAGATGAGTGCACGCAAGTGCTGCCAAAGCAGACCAACCTGCCTCTCCTCTGCTTCACTAAAGGGGTGAAGATAAAACAGATGCAGGATCAGGCCATCTTCACGTGCAAACTGGGCCCTGAATGATTACTCAGGCACAGGCTGGGTTTCAGCATGGAACACTTTATCTCCAACATTGAAGACATTTTTTCCCCCAATTCATGTTTCACAATCTTAAGAAACGCTGTGGCTGTAAAAAAAGAAAGATGAAGTTGGGCCTGGGTTATTTCAAGTGCTACCAGCGGGACTCACACGTCCCCTGCATTGGCAGGCAGAATCTGAGGATTCATGGAGACAGTCCGTTATTATTCGCCAACACCATCTCAAATGCAACTAAAATAAATAGGGTCAAATACTGCTGTTTCGTGCACTAGTGTAAATCTGGAGTGATTCCACTTATTTCACTAGGATAGAAGAGTGGTGTAAGGAAAGACAAGAAAGGTGCAAGTAATATTATAAGCCGTAACTGCTCTGCACTCCTTTTAGTCATCAGAGCTAATCTTACGGTAAAACAGGTGTGAGATCAGTCTTATTATTTAAGAGAGGGAAACTGCCTTTTTTGTTATCTCGACTAGGAATGTTACAAAACCACTGGAAATTACAACAGGGTTAATGTGTTATATGTCCAGCCCTCTGAAGACTGAAGCAAGGCTGGTTTTACATGGTGCATTACACTTAGCAGTAGAGACGTTATAGTTATAATGTGGGTAGCTATTCTAATATGAAGGCACAAGCCAAAATACAACCCAGCTTCCTCTCTCAGAACAGTCCTAGCTCTGCAAGGCAAGCAGGAGTAAACACAATAAAACTTAATTTAGTCATTAAAGTAAACAGATATGGCCTGGAACAAAGCAGGTCTGTTGGGAAGGGAA